ATGTCCATTCCCTTGTAGTGTAAGACATTATTGCTAAATCAAATGGACTACGCCACATGCTCGACAGCTGGCGGCTCAATTAGCGTATCGCGCTTACATAACGGACACACCGACGACTGGAACAGCAGCCACCGATCAATGCACCTGCTGTGGAAAGTATGCGGACAGGGCAGCTCCCTCACCACATCCCCTTCACGTATCTCGTCTAGACAAATCGCACACTCATTCAAGTCGTCATCGTCATCATCCCACGACGTTAGTACCGGATCCTTGCTAGGAAGCTCGCCTAGTTGCGCCGAATACACACGGGTTAGCTCCAAGGAACTGCCAGGCATCTGGGGCAAGTGTGGGCAGGACGCGTTGCTCCGCAGAATCGCCATCTGTGGCTTCTTCATATTACCTGGCAGGCCCAGGGTATCAGGAGGCTGGAGATCGCGGTGAGTTACAATGCGCAGTGGCATTAGATCCAGCTCGCTTTGCTGCAGAACGCGTCGGGTTGAATTCCGTCGATGGCCATGGGCGTCGGCGTGTCGTGCACGTCTGGAGCGTGCTCGGAACGCCTGTCCGCTATTGCGAGCCCACACGGTCGTAGCGCGTGGAGGAAATTCGGTCGACCGACGCCCCGCTCGCACCCTACGCCGGCTGAGTTTCAGACAGTCAAAATAGCGTACCAGCATGGCGATGACAAAGCACACAATCCCAGTGATACCCACACCAACCATAGCTTTCAGAAAGAAATTTCTGTCGGCCGATGCCACATCCGCTGCAGACCGCCCGATAGTGATGAAGACGCGCGGGTGTGTCAGCTGGCTGCCTTCAGTCGCTATGCGCACTGCCATCTTCACGTCGTCTTGCAAATACTCATACTTGATGTTGTTTGGCGGCTGAGGTAAATCCACTTTACTTGCGTTTCCGTATACGTGCTCCAGTACCCGGATGAGGTACGCTCCTGCCACATTATTCACCACCCACACAGGCGTGTGCAAGTAGGTCAAGTCGACTACTGCACGCTCGGCTGCCTGCGCTGCATCATCTTTCATAGAGTACAGGAGTGCGCCAGCTGCCCGCCCCGATTCGGTTTCCTGGTGCAGCACCCATTCCCACTCGCTGCGGCAGCTCTTGTACGGCAGGAATGCAATGCCGTTTGGGTGATCTGGCTTGGTGTATTTCCGCACCGTGCGCAATATTGCGTCGTCAGCACAGTCAGCAGATTCCGGCACGTAGAGCTCGCCTGCGAAGCCAAATGTGCTGAGACCCGTTTGTGGTAGTGGATAGGCGTAGTCGCTACGATCGAATGTTGCTTGATAGGCGTTGCGCTGGGTGTCGCTTGTTACGTTGCTCTGTACACTAACCGTCAGCGATACAAGTGGTGCGCGGGCTTGGGCTGCAGCTAGGAATGCCCATGCGAATAGGGCATCCTGAAATATTGTGTAAACCATGCGACAAATTTTTTGCAGGCGATGCTGTAAAGGTATGTGAAATAGAAAGGAGAAAAATCGATATATAAATACGATGCAAAAATGCGTTCAGGTTTAAAGAGGATAAATAACTGCCAATTCGCATCCACTTCCAGCGCGTGTGTATATGCAATCCACCTGCAGTGTCTTTCAATCAGGCATGCAGCATATACATGCGAAAAATGGCCATTTCTCGTATGCATGGCGTCTAGTTGCTCAACCAATTCGAAATCGCAAATGGAGCGCAGGACAAGGCCAACTCCATTACGCAAGAGACAAATGTCCCCTTCATACATTATCATCTAAAATTCCCCGAACTAATCGCAATGATTGCATTTTCTAATCGTCATACATGTCACGCCGCTGCAAACATCGCCTTGTATGTGGATGCTATATATAGAACATGATTATGTTTTGGGGCAGTGGAAACAGATGATGGGAATAGCTTGGGGCAACCATGTGCCGCCATCTCTCATGAAGCATTAAAGGCTCTCATCAGTATTTCCATCCTGTGACAAAGCGCCCGCAGGACGCGTGTCAGGGTCTGGGCGACGGCTCGCTGGTCCTCTGCCTCGGCTGGGCATGTAGACGTCAGCTCGGTTCTGCAGCAACGCGAGGGAAAAGGAAGGAGTAATACATAGGTGTTATTATTAGGACTGTGGTGGTGAAGGGGGTAGCGGAAATAAAAAGAAATAGATGAAATAGAGTGAAAGGTTAGATTTTTGGGGAGAGGAAGGGGCAGAGCAAGTGCATGGAAGCAGCCTGGTATCTAGAATAGCCCGACTCCATATCCAGATGCTAAGCGCGGCCCCTCCTCTGCAACCACTGGTAGCCCTAAGGCGTTTGTTCCTTTTATACAACCAAGGCGAACCACGCAGCTTGCAAGTCCTCCTCGAGCATAATCTACACATTGTTTTGTGTGGCAGCAGGAGCCACCGAGCTACCATCCGCCGGTGCCGACGTCGTCCCCATGTTCAGCGGCATCGGCATCGCCCCCGAGATCCCGCCACTGCCAATAAGATGAGCAAAGTTGGCGTCGCCCAGGCTGAACCCGCCCATCGCCTGCGCACTGCTCGCATGCTGGTCGCCAAGTGACGTACCAAAGTTGAAGATGTCACTGAGCGAGTCCCCGTTCCCGTCGGTAAGCCAGTCGCTGAGCTGGAGGGCGCCAAAATCGCTCGGCTCCGTTGTCTGCAAGTCGCCTGTCGATCCAGGCGTGGTGCCAGCCATCATCTGAATCGGGAGCTGCTGGGCTGCCTGATTGCCCCGCTGCGACAGTATCGACGAGAGCGTGCTCTCACCTGCATCACCCCCCTCACTGGCCATGGCCAGATTGCGGCCTGCAATGCTGCTATTTGCAAACGATGGCGACGGCGTATTGATATTAGGCTTGGCCACGCCCATCATTGGATTCGTTCCACCGGCACTGGTGGCAATGGCATTGGCCACTTGCTGCTGCTGCTGCGCCTTCATGGCCAAGGCTGGACTGGCACTAGCCTTACCGCTGCTCCCGCTGTTGCTACTGACAACCCCACTTTTAATAGTGTATGGGGAAGCAACGCGCTCGATTCCGGCAGCCGGGTTGTTGCGGTTCACTGGTGCTGGCGGTGGGTTTAGTGCAGACATGGGACCCGCACCTACCGGCATAACCATAGCGGGGCTCGACGTGGCCTGCGACTTGTTTGCTACGCCCTTTGCCCCCTTCTTCGTGGACTTGCGTGACTTGGGTTTCGCAGCCGCCTTCTTTGGAGCCGTGGCAGGTGTAGGCGCCGAGGTCGGGATTGAAGCAGTTGGTGCCGACGAGATGATCATCAGTCCCTGGTTGGGTGCGCTATTGTCGGGCTCGCCAGTACCAGGGCGCCGGATCCCGCCGGGTCCGAGATTGCCTACAAGCATGCCGCCGCGCTGCATCGCCATATGACCCGGTGGGATGGCGCCATGCGGCCCAGGCACCTGATGCTGGAGCTGGAACTGAAACTGCTGCTGTTGCTGTTGCTGCTGCGTCTGTGGCTGTATCTGTGGCTGCACTTGCGGCTGGTTGGCTGGAAGCGTCTGAGACGGAACACCATGCGGATACCCCTGATTTTCGGCTTGAACGGCCATCTGTGGGCTCAGCATCGCAAACGGATTAGCATTAGGCACCTGCATCCCAGGCGGCAGGTTTGTGGGCACGCCTGGTTGTCCCTGTGGCCGAGATGCTTGGTCCATCTGCAACGAGCTCGGGGCGCCTACTGTGCTAATCTCTGGGTGTGAAGTTACAGCCGCGTTCGCTGCCTGCTGTTGCTGCTGCTGCTGCTGCTGTTGTTGGTGTTGCTGCTGTTGTTGTTGCTGTTGTTGCTGTTGGTGTTGCTGCTGCTGCTGCTGCTGCTGTTGATGATGCTGCTGCTGGTTTTGGAAATATGCAAGCATAGCAGCATTCGGGGCACCCGCTATCGAAGCCATCGGGTATCCCGCTGCCGCCGCTGCTGCTGCCAGAACCGTTGACGAGCTATTGAAGCTGAATTCGCCCTGTCCCGGAGCACCCATCCCTGGCTGGGGCATAGCACCCGAAAAGTTGCCGGGGATCGCCTGGTGCATGAGCTGGCTAGGCGGACCGACCGATCCAACACGCTGAAGCTGGCCGGGATGCACCTGCTGCTGGTGTGGCTGGGGCGGCATGCCAAACGTCATGGAGGCAACCGATGCGCGGCGCAGATCATTGTGTGCAGCTGCATTGGGAATCATTGGCGAAGTAATAGACGGCGGTGGCGATATCAGCCGCTGAGCTGCCTGTGCTGTGGCGACCCCCGATACATTTGGACTGCCACCCATGGATTGGCTGACCGTGCGCTGATTTGGCACAAGCCGTGGGATATTGGCATTCGCTACGTGCGGGGATGCAAATGTATGAGCGTGCTTAATCGGCGGTGGCTGCGCCTGCGTCTCTGTCATCTTTGCGTTCAACGGTGTAGCACTCGCCCGGGGCGCTGTGGGCGGTTGCGCCTGTGGCTGTGATTGCGCCTGCGGCTGTGATTGCTGCTGCTGCTGCTGCTGCTGCTTCGGACCAGGCGGCGACCGTGTAGATGCTTCACTCTGTCCTGACACGCTGTTGTTAGACTTCAACTGGGCTGCAGGCGATGAATTGGGCTCGACCTTGACTCGGACATCTATGGAAAGGGTAACAAGCGAATGTACAGTTCGTATTAGCCAAGGATATTCCTCAACCATCAATTATCCACTGTGTATAGTGGGACTCGAGAGTGCAGTATGTTGTTGTGGTTTTGCGTGTGAGTGAGATGCAGACAATAGAGGGTGCCGAAACAAACAAATAGGCAATGGCACACTAATAAGCAAAAAGTTTATGACCCGGATAATGGCATGCATAAAACAAGCACAATAAAGTGCTACTCAAGACATGGAACAATAGGGCACAGGTCTACCTCACAGAAATTAATATGAGCACTTTGGCAAACGACCAGAAAAGGTACAATAGCTTGGCGACCACTCATATATGCACTATATGGGAAGAGCGCCTGGACATCCCCCAACACTTTCTGACATGCATTACGTGGTTGACCCAACATTACCTTGCTCGTTTCTATGTGCCTGGTGCGCTGTGCCGGCAGCCTGCGTGCCCTCGCTGACAACCTTCAGGCTGCGTGACAGATACTGCGTATAGTCGTTGGACAGCATGTGCCCGCCTAGCGGGAGCATGTTGACGCCAGGGCCGTGGGGAATCGTCGGCACGCCGTTTGTCGCTGCCTGCTGCTGCTGCTCCTGGTGCTGCTGGTGCTGGTGATCAGACCCATCAGGAAACGGTGTGTACTTTGCCACCAGCGCGGCACTCTGCGGCGAGCTCTCGCCGTTGTTTGACCGTATCCGCTTCGTGGCAGCGTCCACCTGCTCTGAACCAACTCCAGCTGTATCCGCGTCGTCACTATACGCAGAAAAAGGCATGGGATTGCCCCCGTAAACAGAAAAGGGATGGGTTTCTGTTAGCCAACATTAAATGACAACGGGGATTGACACGGAAGAGAGAAAACAGGAGATGCTGTGGTGCGTGTTTGAAAGCGGGCACTGAAAGTAACGCGGCCCCTGAGGATTCTGAACACCCCCCACCTGTACACAGTTGGGGAGAAGCGAGCCCCAGTCAAGACGGGTGCCCTTCTGCAAACAAGGGGGTCTTCAGGATACCCCCTCTCCCTGCCTGGCCGCATCAGCATTCGGCATGCAAAGGTAGAAAAACAACTTACCGTGAGCCGCTGCGCTTGCCATTCGGATTCAGCTGTGTGGCAGCAGGCTTTTGCCCCTTCCGCATCTGCTGGTGCTGCACGTACGTACGCATGAGATCGGGCACATTGGCCGCCGGCTGGCGATCGGAGTAGGCCTGTGCCATGCAATGAAAGAGCTCAAACCAATTCCCCAGGAATGTGTTGGCCATGTCTAGCGGCACGTTGACGGCCGGCACAGGCTTGCCCTTTGGCCGGTCTGCGGGATTCGCTCCATCGCCCTTGGCCGGACTCGCTGAGTCATGTGCCGGCGGAGTGAATTTACTACTGGCGCCATCCCTTGCGTCTCCGTCGGCCTTGCCCTTCGCCTTTGCTGCACCCGCACCGGCCGGTGTGTCGTCAGGCACGCGCGGATCACTGGGCACGACCTGAGCAAGTGGCAGGTTGCCGCACTCCTCGGCCAATGCCAGCGCGGTCTTCAGCAACCGTTTTTTGCGAAGAAAATCGTAGATGTATGCGTTCAGCAGCGAGTCTTGCATCTCAAAGTCCGCTCCACGATGTGTGTATAGGATGTATAGTTGGCTGGTTGGGGTGTGCGGCCAGAGTGGAGTAGAAATACCGTGGGTAGTCTATAAAGAGAGCAGTTGCTACTATATCCGATATAAATAATAATAATAATAACCGGTGAAGGAGGGCAAGCTGGGTTCCCTTTTGGTTTGGCTGCGTCTTCCTTCCCAGGAAGAAAGTGGTTGGGATATAGACAGGGCTATACGAGAAAGAGAGAGAGAAAGCGGAGGAAGGGGCGGCCCGTCGTTTCAGTAGAGGAAAAAAGAGCTACCAGTGCAGAGTAAACATAAAGGCGAAAAGAAAAAAGATGGCGTTGAGTTAGGAGAAGGGGGAAGTCTGACAGGTTCTCCCCTTTTCTTCGTTGCTGGACGAGCTAGATGGCAGCGCCTTTTGAGTGATGCTGATGCTATGTAACAGGGGGAAAGGCAGGATATATCGATTAGAATCGCCTCGTTGTAGCATATAGGAGTCTGGAAAGGCGAGGGTCTGTAACGTCTCCTCCCCCGCACGCTGAGCGAGTATATGGCCAGCAGTAAAGCCAGGCAGACGACACACGTAGCAGAAAAAGTCAATTGATATGCACCTTGCTGGTTGGAGTTTGCCTATCTCTGAAGGAGCATGTAGAAGCAGAGCTGGTTCTTAGTAAATAGCACAAGAAAAATAGCGACGAGGAAAAAAAGGTTCAGAAAGCGCGCGCCGCCGCCAAGTTTGCCCTGCCAGCACGCCAAAGCAGCAGATTTGAGCGTAAATGATCGCCGACCAGTTTAATTGGCTGCACATTTTCAGCACACTTTGAGGTATTTTCATCTTTGCTCGGCGCAAACGACTGAGGACGGACCGTCTCGGTCGCCTTTTGCTGCGATCAGCCAGCACAGGATTTTTGCGTCCGAAAGCTTGCGGCTCCCCCGGAAGCACCGGTGGTCTGAAAACGGAAATGGTTACAGTGGCCTAGTGTAACGCGATACACTGATCGTGCTTCGAACCACTCTATCTCCTGGCATGGCAGCCGCACGCACCCCCCTGGAGAAAGGGTTGAGAACGGGTTTGGGCAGGCGGTTGAGTATCTGCACCGCCACCTCGCACGCGCTCAACAGAAACTCCCCCTCTCCTGCCACAAAACAAGCAGAATACCAGATCTACCAGAAGATTTTGAATTTCAAAATAGATGCGCGATCCACCGCGGATGGCCCGATCTGCCGATACCCACGTCAGTACACAGGATGGTCCAGCAAAAAGGCTTGGCCACAGATCACGGTCGGCGGTCTCCCTGCCCACATCACAAACGCACATGGACTTTTGCGAGGCTACATTCCCATGTCATCATGTATTTTAAAAAAAAAAGAAATATCGACATCGCATCCAGCCAAGCCCTGGGGAGCTTAGTGGCGTCCACGCTTGCCGCCGCGGCCGCCGCTAAAGTTGCCCCGGCGCTTCTTGTCGTTGCCGCCGCGCGCCGACGAGTTCTCGACAGCAGTCTTGGCGCGCTCCACGAATGCCTTGTGGGCCTCCTCATCAACCTCGGCCAGCTTGAGCGTGAGCCCGTCCATCATGATGCCCTCAGCGTTCTTCTCGACGACCTCCTTGGCGATGGGCTGGCGGAACCGCACAATGCCCTCGGGGCTGCCGCGCTCGTAGTCGATGAACCGGACCGGTCCAACAGTGTTGAACAGCTCCTTGAGCTGCGGGAAGCCGACCTCGCCCTCAACGCCCGAGAACTTGACCAGCGACTCAATCTCAATCTCGACCTCCTTGGGCTCCTCGCGCTTCTGCTTGCGCTCGCCCTGGATAGCCGGCACCTCGCGGCCATGCGCCTTGCAGTAGTCCTCGAACGACTGGTACTCGGCGCCAGGCTTCTGCAGCTCGGGCTGGATATACTCGTCGGCAGCCTGCTTCTCGTCGTGGTATGCGGACAGCATAGCCGGCTCAAGCTTCTTGCCCTTGTACTCGAGGTCAGTCAGCTTCGAGACCTCCTCGGCAGCCTCCTTGGTGTCGAACTCGACGAGGACGTTGCCCTTGAACGCCTTGGTCTTGGGGTTGCGGCGCAGGCGCACAAGCATCACCTTGCCCTTGGCGCTGAAGAAGTCGGTCAGCTCGTCGATAAGATCGGGGTTCTCGCGGCCGTAGTCAAGGCCCTTGAAGTGCACGGTGCGCTCGTACCAGTCGTCCGACGGCGTGAACTCGACAGTGCGCCGGATCGCCGAACCGTCCTCCTTCACCTCCAGCGTCTCCTCGCCAGCAAGACCCTCCTTGATTGTCTTGCCCAGCAGCTGGATGAATTCCTCAGGAACTGGGACGAAGCGGGGCTGCTTGCCGCGCTTCTTCTGCTGGGGCGCATCGGTCGGCACGCCCAGCAGCTGACGGATCCGGTTGAACCGCGCAAGCTGGGTGACCTTGATCCATCCGTCCTCCTCCTTAAGGCTCTTGACCATGTAGTTGTCGTGGTTGAGGTTCGCGTCGGTGAAGTAGTGCTTGACCTGCTTCACAACCTTGGCCGCCTCGCCCTCGGACAGGTGAGGGAGGTCCAGCTTGGGCTGCTCGGCAACAGCGTCCTTCTTGATCTCGGCAGCAGCCGCAACCTCGGGAATACCTTCCGTGGGAGCCATTGTTTTTTCTATTGTGATGGTGATATGTGTTGTGTGTGAGAGGCGGGGAGCCGGGGAGAAGGCTATGTAAAGAATACGAGATGGAGAGAAAAACGGAGTAGGAAAATTTTTTGAGAGGACCAAGCAGCCAAATTTTTACGAGTCATTCGGAAGCCGACACAAGCAATGGTCGCGTCCAAAAATCAGCGTTCAAAAAAAGTCGGCGTGATCAAAATTCTTAGATCATAAATTAGTATATTAATGCTCGATCGAATACATGCAATGATGTACTGGCCACTTACGTTGGCAAGGATGTTGCTACAGACACTGCCATGGACACTGTATCAGTGCCTGGAATTTCAAAGAAACTATACCATTTAAAGCTTGGCACCAATTTTTGCCATATGCCGAACCTTCAGCTCGCGCCTCAAAATCTTGCCCGACACATTGCGCGGGATTGATTCAATGACATCAACACCACCACGCAGATGCTTGTGTCCGGCAACCTTGGAGGCCAGAAATGCTTGGACCTCCGTGCATAGTTTGTCAACCTTGGCCTTATCCGATGCATCGATGGAATCAGCCAGAACAATGTATGCCATAGGGACCTCGGTCTCGCGCTTAGGATCATGGACGCCAATGACTGCTGCATCATTGACTGCTTCGTGTGTGATGAGAATGTCCTCGAGCTCGGATGCAGATACCTGCAGCCCCTTGTACTTGATCAGCTCCTTGATCCGGTCAGTAATAAACACATGGCCAGTCTCGTTGATGTAGCCGACGTCGCCGGTGTGGAAGAACCCGTCCTTGTCAAACACATAGGCATTCTCCTCTGGCCGGTTGAGATAGCCCATCATAATTTGACTGCCGCGTAGGCACAGTTCGCCCTCCTGGCCAACACCCAGGTCCTTGCCATGCTCGTCAACAAACTTTGCCTCGGCACCAGAGTACAAGAACCCAACAGCACCAAAGACTGGCTTGTACGCTGCCATCTGGATTATGCCGCTGCAAGTCTCGGACATGCCGAACCCCTGGCTGACCTTGATCGGGAACATCTTGACAATGCCCTCATGGACACTCTTAGCCAAGGGTGCCGCACCGCATCCAAGGACACGCAGCGACGATAGGTCATACCTGTGCAGCTTCGGGTGCTTGAGAATCTGCGTATAGACGGCAGGTACGACAGGGGCGATCTGCAGCCTGTAGTCCTGGATGGCCTGCAAAAAGTGGTCGATGCTGAATCTACGAAGAATGTACTGCGTCTTACCGCCAGCGACCGAGTTCTGGACTAGTGTTGTCAAGCCATAGATGTGTGCAAATGGCAAGATTGCAATGCAGCGCTGCGAGTCGTCTTTTGTGCCACCAGTCTTAGCCTCTACAAACTCGTTGTAGACAACCCCATTGACTGTGTAACTGATCATGTTGCGATGACTCAGCATAACTCCCTTAGGCCGACCAGTGGTGCCCGACGAGTAGACGATGGTTGCCAGAGTGTTCGCAGACTCCTCCTTGGTTGTGATTTGAAAGCGCGTGTACGCCTTGTCTGACAACATTGTTTGCATGCTCGTGAAACGGGGATCCGATGGCACATCCTCAAGACTGACGACGTTTTGGGGGCTGACTTTGACCAGCCCTTCGTCGATAGCTTGCGCCATGACCTTCTCCTGCGACTTGGTGACAAAGACAACCTTTGCACCACAGTCATTGAACTGGTACGCAATCTCTGACGCATTGAACACGCTGCTGGCAGTGCAGCACACGGCACCCGAAGCGAGGATCCCAAAGTATGCAGGCGCATAGTAGATGGTGTTTGAGGCAAAGATCATGACAATGTCTCCCTTCTTGAGGCCAAGGTTATTGACCAAACCTGATGCAATCCTATCATGCATATCTTCGAGCTGGCCGTAGGTCAGCGCCTTTCTGGTGGCAATATCCACGTATGCCAGCGTGTCAGGTGTGGCGCCGTTGACCTTGGATGCGCCCAGGTAGAATGTTGGGATGTCGAGAGCAGGGATCTCGGCTGAGGGCAGAAGGCTCTTAAAAATCATCGCACTGTTTAGAAGGTGTTGGTGGCTGTTTTGTTTATGTGAACGATTATATGAGGCTGCTCGCTAGTCTTGCGAAAAAAAGTGAGGGTAGTGATGTAGAGCAAGAAAAAAGAACGAGCTCCCTTCCCGCCTAATTTAAGTCTGTAAACATGAGCATCTGACTTCAGTACATCCCCGGGACCCCGGGCCAGTGTATCCTCCGTCCGTGCGTCTAGACTGCCTCTTGTTCTTGGTAGAATTTTGTCAAGCGTAAAGATGCGGGTGGGCAGAACTATGCGCAAGAAATTAACGGACTCCAGAGTGTGGGCGAAGGGGTCATGTGTCTGGGGGATTGCTGGCAGG